TGTTCATTTTTTAAATATATATAAAAATTTTTTGCATGAACTTATTTTGCGATTCATTATTGCATTAAATAAATGATATAAGAGAGGTTATATTAACAAACAAGCAATTTAATTTTTAGCCTTTGACTGCCAGAGGGCGCTGAATATCGTCCTCGTAAATCGTTAGGTCTTATTCACAATTTGGAAATGTTTTAATTTAGAAGCATTGCGGAACGCAGAAAGGATGGAAGTGTTCGGGGAATGATTGATTCTGGAACACATATTGTTTAAAGCAACTGTTACTAACAGTATCCTTAAAGGAAGCAAATATATAGAGCTCTCAGGGATCGAAAATTTTTATACAATTTTTAGAATTTTCCGGTTTACATGTCAATATGATATTGTTGTTAAAGGAGCTAATCGTGTACGAATCTATAGTTTCGAAGATAGCCATTTTGGCGGGTGACGTGTTTGCATGCCGAGTATTGACAGCCATAACATAAATGATCGACGTTACATGTAATATGGCGATAATTGCTTTTCCGATGTACAGAAAGCAAAGAACATGGTAGTTTGTGACCCAATTAAGAAAGGATTAATACAATTTTTCACAATGGTGAGAAATATTTATGAATTTGAGTATTGGCGGATAGTAAACAGAAGAAAGGCCGCGTATAATTTTCAGCTGCGCTAGGGGGGGCAATGCACCATGGGAACAATTTGCGACAGGCGCATGCGCAGATCAGTTTACAGTTGGAGCTTGGAAGAAAATGGCGTCAGCTAAGTTTCTGGAGGAAGCTCTGAGCACGGACGTCGACGAATCCGCAGTGAACGCGATAGTGGGCTCCCTTGAAACGCAACTAGTAACATCGACGCCGGCTGTCTCTGGTCATCAAGTAAGTTCTGCGTCAGTCAGCCAGCAGAATCATCAGGTGAACAGTGGTATTTCCAACGGGGGCACCATCACCGCGGTACAGCCGCAGAAACATGGGGTTTCAAACGGCGGCGGTGGTACTACAGTAAATAGTCTGATGACCCAAGAAGTTACGAAGTCTATTACCACGAGTACTCTCCTCCCTGTAAACGTGGTTACCTCAAACACAGTGGCGCCACAGGTTACTACACAACAGCAGCAACAGCATACACAGTCTGCAGTCCCCCCTGCTGCTTATATCAATCAAGTTACTACAAACCAGGTGACCAGCAATCAAACGACAAATATACCAAGCCTTACTAAAACACATGAACCTGTCAAGATTATTTATCCAACTGTTGGTCAAGTAATAGCAACCACGGGAGTAGCAAATGCAAATAATAAACTTTCTTTTCCTGCACAAACCGTTGGACAGTTAGCCAATGGTACTTTAGGAATAACATCTCAGGCAGTGTTACAGACAACATCAAATGTTGTTTCCAATGTTGGCTCCGTTAGTGAAACGGGTAGTCAAACAGTGGCTAGTGTAAATAAGCCTACAGGTGCAGCTTTGGTGATAAAGACTAGTGTAGCACCCAGTGGCATGGTTTCTGTTCCAATGTCTGTTCCTGTTTCTGTGGCTGGCAATGCTGTCAGCACAGCACTACAGGGTAAAGCTGGAGTTACATCTACAATAGTACCTAGTAATGTGCAAATTCTCAATGTGAATACAATGCGTCCTGGCACACCTGTGGTAGGACAGCAAGCAGGAAAACAAGTTGCACCTAGAGTAGTAATTGGTCAACACATGCTTGGAACAAGACCTGGAGCTTCAGGGGTAAGATATTTATAGTTTGTAAACAAATATACATATATTCATTCTAAGGTCATTCTATTATCTTATACAGTTTATTTATATTGATTTTATTATTTTTACTTTTTTTCTTTTTGTACTTAATATTTTT